CTATCTATCTATCTATCTATCTATCTATCTATCTATCTATCTATCTATCTATCTATCGAAAAGTATGCCACCAGGTGGCAGCGCATGCCCATTGCATAATTCATCTTGTTCCTGGCACACCATCTGTAGAACAGATCTATGTATTTATACGTGGCTGAGAGTGAAAGACAGAAGAGAGAAAAAGTAGCAGAATTATTCATTTGGGGTCTAATTTCATAATCTTTAATTCAGAACGGCTTTTCAGTTTAAGCTGACATTAAAAATATGCACAGAACAAACCTTACTAAAAGTTAACACAGAAACCTGGTAACATTTCATCTACCAGGCATTATACGGCAGTAGAAATGAGAACTCTGAACTCAATCACAAACTAGTTTCTTCTTTACCACCCTAGGAATCTTATAAAAAGATAAATAAATCTAACAGCTAAGGAGTAAATGGTGTTGACGGTTTCTTCCATAATCTGTCCATCATCTTATGAATTTAGTGCATGTAAATCTGTACATGAAATTTGAAAAGTGGTCATCATATCAATGAAGGTGTGGGAGGAAGATAACCAGGGATTTTTGGCATTGAGGACCAATGGGAAATAACCTGGGAAGATTGTTTCCATTCTGATATAATGATGAAGTAGATCAAGGAAATACCAAACAGGAGTCAACTGGCCCATTCAATTAACCTGAATCATCAGGGGAGGCCAAGAAAGTCAAGATGGCAGAAATGGCTTGTGTTCAAAGCCTTTCCTCTTATCTGTGACGTGTGTAAAAAGGGTGGGGCTTTGAGTAATCTTGGCCATCATCTTGACCTGTCTGATCCCCAATGTCCTTGCAAATGGCAAAGAAGCTACTGATGGAATGAACTCTTGCCACTAATATCCTCCTTGTTCATAGGCTCATGGGATACTTCCTACTGGAAACAGGCAAGGATTGGAATAATTTCCAAACAAATTGGAATTATTTTCCAAATTGTGAGTTAGATTCTGTTTGTGTGATTGCACAGGACTACCGGCATTTCATCATTTATGTTAATATTGCATTTTTGTCCCACCACTTTGGTTAGATAAGTGTTGAAGGCAGCTTAAAACAATATACAAAATATAAAACCCTACAGTAAAAGTAGTCCCATTGAAATCAAAAGTAAAATGAGTTTGGATTAGGTATGTTGTCAGAACAGGACAATTGATTTCCAAGGAATAAAAGCTGGTGGTAAATACCAACTTCTACCAAGGCAATGCAATGTAGTCCTCAGAAATGGGTGTTTTAAGAAAAGAAATCATCATGGTTAAACGTTCTGCCAAACCAGGGTTTAGACTGTTCAGACCACTTTATTAGCATTGATGGCACCTTCCAGATGAGTTTTGCTTCTCCCATAAACCACAGTTCACTGTAGTGATAGGAGTTGTAGTTTAAACCCATTTGAAGGGTGATATCACTGCAATTCTTGACATTTTGGGGAGACTGTAGAGCTGAGCTGAACTATAGCATTTGCAATTTGGTGAGTGTGAATTGAAACTGAGAGCTGAGTTGGAAATTTCATGTGGTACCACTTGGTTTCTGCATGGGAGAAATTCCAGCAGATATAACTACCATGCCTTGGAAGCTTAATATTTTAGCAGCATCCTTTTAGTATCTGTGAAACAGTTGATTACACTATGTGTTAAGTTCTTTGCAGGTGTTGAAAGGGTCCTGTTGGTAGTGAACAAAGCCAGCTAATGAAAATTAAAGGCTCGAAAAAAATTTCAACCCTTGGCTTTTTTGATTGAGTATCGAGCAATTGCAACTAAGCGTTGGAAACATTTTTTCCATATAATTCTGCCATTCAAATCTTGGTGCTGTTTTTATATTGATTCCTCTTATTAAGCCAGGAGTTAAATTATCGAATGAATAAAAACTGGCCAAAGTATGAAAGCTTTTCTAGAAAGGATATGGGATGAATCCATCCAAGAACATTTTAGCTTTAGAAGAAAAACCAAAGTGCCCTTATCAGAAATATCCTTTTTTTGCAGTTGCAAATGTTCTTCTTCTATAGTGGTATTGTTATTTTGTTTTGTGGATTTTTACAAGCCCTTTATGTCAGAGTTGAAAAGATAATCACGTGAAACGGAGACAAAATTCCCATAGAAGGACTGCAGGAGTGTGAAAACCTAGAATCAACTCCCAATGTCCTAATCATCTGGGACAAGAAAGAGAGGTAGGAATTTCAAACCCAGTTTTCTTTTCTCCTATTACATTAAGTAGATGTTTGCTAGGAAGCTGAAGTACTAAGCCCATTTTTACACCAGCAGTGGATGAAACAAATTAATTTCTCAAGAGCTCTCTTTCAAACTGTAGGCGAGGAAACCACATGATTTATTGCCCTATACACAGAATAAATAGCCATGGATGCCTTTTAAATTTTAGATGTCTCAAGAGCTGTATTCATTCTCCTAAGTTGCTTTAGAGTTTTTGTGCACAAAGATCTGCGTGTTCCACTCTATATAATATCAGTAAATTGAAGGAATAGTCAGTTTTTTAAAAATGTAAAAACGAACATCCTCAAAACTAAGTTTTGTACATTTTGAATTCCTTGACTTAATTATTAAGGCTTGCACTTTCAGGCAAGTGAATGGCAGTGTTTAGTGGTGAACATGTTGGACAGAGGGGACCTCAGTTCAAGTGTTCTTTCAGCTATGGAAATCCATAGGTGATAGATCAGATATTCCCTCTCAGCCATCATCCAGGGTTGTTGGAAAAACAGAAAGAGGGGTGCTGTGTCACTTCCTGTGTTAGGCACCCTGAGGACAGGCAGGATATGAAGCTAAACAGTCAATAAATAAAACTACAGTTTTTGCAGCTATTCATCAGGTTAATATTGTTGAATAATATTGCTTGAATCCAGAATTATTTAACAAAGAATTTAAAGTCAACTATTGTAGAAGTCTTTGAAAAATCCATTAAAATTGTAGGTTAGAGTTGCTTTTTCCTTCTTACTCCTTGTTAGAATTGTGGTCATGATGCCAAAATATATATTGATGGAGAGAAAAATAGTATCAGGGTATGAGGCAATGAACACTAAGTTTAAGAAAAATGTGATTTATATAGAATGACAAGTGGAGGTGTGTATGATTCCAGAAGAGGCGCGTCAAGTTTTGTCATAAGAAACTGAACCATCCTTAAGCCATCAGGGCCCCTTCATGCAGGTTGATTTAACATGCATTCAGAGTGGACCTTTACAAACCACTGTAAAGTTGAGGTAGATGTTGAAAAGGTACAATGTGTATCTCAAGAGCAATAGGTCTGCTTTGGTACATGCAGGGTGTTGTTAAGAAAAATGGGAGCCCATCCCTAGAAACTTACGTGACCATAAATTCTAGTCCTTCCTTTGGTGTGAAAGCCCACAGAGTGACTCTGAACCAGTCACCCTCTCTCAGCCCAACTCACATCACAGGATTATTGTGGGGAAAATAGGAGGCAGGATCATTATGTATGTTGCTTTGAGTTGTACAAAATAAAAGGAATATATAAATATAACTGCCTGGAGTTGCTGGGAGTTGGGTGGTGTGAAAATATAATTAATTAATTTTAAAAATCTAATAATAATTTTTAAAAATGCCTGAATACAGCTATTGTGATACTTGTGGAAGCCAAAGAGTTTTATAAAGAAGGATCTGTCTCAAGTGTAATATATGAACTGGCTGGAAGTGTGTGCATGGGAACATACATTTATGATAATCCTAAATTAACCTGGGCACTTTTGTACCAGAACGCTGAGGACACAGCAGTGTTCATGGGTGGAGGGAAGCATATGAAAGAGGTGCTTCACAAAGCATGTTAGTGTGAGTGAAACACCCTTCCTTGAAACACTAAAGCAGCTGCATCTTTTGGGAAGCTCCACATGGCTGTTTGAAGGACTTTCTTCAGCTGTCTTTGTCCACATGCATGCCCAGACAAGACTGTGAGCTGAGAGCATCATTGAAACACTTTTGTAATCCTTGTAAAGGATGTTGCTGCCTTGACACCTTCAAGAGAAGGGCTTTGCATTTTTGAATGTTTATTACAGTTCCTACTGATCAGAAGCACATTGTACCTTATTATCTGTTGCTCCTTGACCTTCAGGTGTAACTTTTTGTAGGCTGAAGGAGCATTAGTAGAAACAAAGAACTGAAAAAGTTTGCTTGTGGTTGGCACATTTTCCCTACCTTTTGAATCTGTAACTCTTTAATACAACTGTTGAAAACAACTTCTGAAAATGCTAATAAAGACATTCTTTTGCAGCTTAATCCACACTATCCAGAAGGTTGCAATGGGGAAAAGACTCCGGTAAGTCCAACTACTTTAAATACAATGTGGCAAAATATTTCCTTCTACAATCATCTTTAAGTGGGAAGGCTCTGATATTTAAGCATTAGAAACAAGTGGGACTTCTCTGTGTGTGGGTCTCTCAACATTTTCTGTCACAGAACTAGAAGTTTAGTATGTATGTATGTATGTATGTATGTAAATGTATTGGCCGCCCAACTCCAATGGACTCTGGAGTTGTGTTTACAAATTCAACACCACCTTTTCTTTTATTTGTTCATTTACTTTAAAACACGATAGCATATTTTTTGGACAAGAGTCATCCAATCAACTGATAGCAAAAAATGGCAATATCTATCTTACCCCTCCAAAGAATATAAAAAATTATTCAGTTCTATGAGCCAAATGAAAAATGAATGCTCTAACTTCTTGGTTGAGTATCTTTAGGGAAGGAATTTTGAATACAAAGGAGGCCTTATAGAAACCCATTCCTTAGAAGGCCCCAGGAAATTTTCAAGTTTTCTTCAACATTCAAGGCTGCAGTCTATGCTGCTTATTCTGTACTATTATAGTTTAAACTCCACAGAGTTGCTTTCAATTATATTTGTGTTCACAGATATCCAGGGAATCCATGCATCAAAATCCATGCATCAAATCCATGCATCAAAATCTGCAAGGGGGTAGGTGCAGTGTTACAATTAAGCCCCATCCATTTATACATGTGACAGTATCACATACATGCGCAAGAGGAGAGGGGCTTTGATCACAACACTGTGCTCTCCACCTTGCAGATTCTGCCCCCACCCCCCGGATTCCCATATAGGCACTGATAAATATTACCTTGCCTTCTCCAATCTAGAACCAGACAGGTTGAACTGCAACACCCAGAAGTCTCAACAAGCATGTTGAGTGATCTAGCATATGTGGAAGGCGTTTGTTGAGGGAAGACTGCCTTATATATTCCTAGATTAATATTTCCACGGTGTGTAGTCCTTGGGGTTCCTTGTTTGCTTCCTTGCAGACATTTCGTTACCCTTCTAGGTAACATCTTCAGTGCACACCACAGTTCAACCCTGGGCTACATATATTCTCTTCTGTTTCCATGGTGCCTGTGTTCATAGATAATATACCAGGATTCCTAGATTATTCTGTTAAATAAACCACATGCCAGCTGGGTTTACAAAGCATGCTTAACCAGGTCAGCTAAAGGACCACTAGGTGCATTCACACAACATGGTAAGCTTATTTATCTTGTTAGTTTTAACTGGTTAGTTAAAAACCTTGTTCGTTTTTTATGAAACCTGCCTATTAGATCCAACTAGAATTCAGCCTGTTATGCAGAGAAAATGGGTTAATTAACTGACCATCTTACAGCTGCTGCATATGTAGCCTGGTTACTCCTACTTTGATCCTCTCACTTGCACAAATAAATAAAGCAGAAGTGATTAACTTTGGTTGATGTCTGAAACGGGGATCTTAGGAGTTGGTCTCATAAAAGCCAAGGCTGATAAGCCAACGACAATACAGCCATGGAGATTAAAATTGTTCTTGTTCTGGGCCAGACTCTTTTCACTGAGTTCAGTCTTAGTTGTTCTTAAAAGATCTGTTATATTCAAGATTAGGTCAAATTTGTCCAAATTTTCTGTGTGTTTATTACATGGTAGGAACAATTGCATTTTAGTCCACCGTTTGTAGCAGATAACTTTGGTAGGCAGAATACAGACATAAACCATAGTAATGCTATGCCAGAAGGCCTGGGGGCCAGATGGGGGCTCGCATCAGTGGAAGTGGCTTGTGGGGTAATTGATTTTGCCCCCCCCCCATCATCTTGAATGTTTTTAGTATTTATGGTATAGGGTTTGTTTTACAGTTTGTCTTTTTAATGGATTAATTAATTTTAATGATCTATGTGGTATTTTTTAATTGTTCACAGGTTTTTGGTTTTAACTGTGAGCCGCCCAGAGTCACCCGTTGGGGGAGATGGGCGGCAAACAAATTTAATAAATAAATAAAAATAAATGGAACAAGCACAGGTGCTTCCCCATCACTCCTGGGTGATTTTGTAAATATTTGGTTTAATCTCAAGAGCCAGGAAATAGGCCTTTGCCAGCTTGCATCTCCTGGCTGGAAAATGTCCAAGTCTTAGCATTTCAGGAGAGCAGTGGGTATGAAAGCTTGGGTGGAAATGCATCAGTGCAACATCCTCAGGTATTACATGGCATCTCAGAATTGCAGTCAGGCTTGAGATCTAGCCACTGAGACACTAAAGATAGTATAGATCCATCTTCCAAGCATCTTTCAGGAAGAGGTTGTTGGGCAAAGGCACTTCCTTAAGTAACAGTTCAGTTTGTGTCAAGGAGTGCTGTTTTTTGTCTTTTAACCCAAATTCAGTAGGAACCGGCTTGGTTGCAAAAATAAAAGAAGCAAAGATGAATAAGAAAACGTCCTTGGTGTTTTCAATTGACGGCATGTACTATGAAGACATATGCGTGCTGTTGAGGGGGCATAAAACCAACTCATGTACTATCTGGACACTGAGAGCTTTATTACAATTGCTCCTTATTTGGTTGTTCCACTCAGGTCAGAATCAATTCAGAAGGATCTAAATAGCTTCTTACATCATGTTCTTCTCTTCTCTTGTCTTCTCTCAATCCCCTTTGCAACATGCTGTTTCTGCTCAATATACAATGACTCACCCAAAATATGATGACTCACAAATGAGTCAGTGTTGGAAAGGTATTGAGAGAGAGCCTAGCAGTGCTCTGTCTGCCAAGCTCCGGTAACATTCAGGAGCAAGGCGGACCATTAATTTGCTCTGCTTGCAAATGGAAAAGAAATACGAGAGCAAGAATTATTCTAATCTGCTGGCCTCCAGAGGCCCCTTATCACAGTATGCAGCTTCCAGGTTGCGAAGCACCTGCTGGAAGAGTTTTAACATGGAGGCTCTAAATTGCACTTCGTTTAACAGATGTTTCTGGAACTTTGGAAGAAGTTAAATTTAATTTCAGCTACAGTGTGCAGTATAGCATAATATATTCCATAAGATTAAAAAACAAATCAGTGGCTGTAGTTATATCATGCTTCTAGAGCAGTGTTTCTCAACCTTAGCAACTTTAAGATTAGTGGGTACTTTTCTCCTCAAAATTCCCCCCCCCCCCCCGGGGGGGGGGGG